TAGCCGATCACTTCGGCAAAGCTCAGAGATTTCAGCGCTTCATAGGGCGCTATCACCCCGTCCAGTACGCCGCGTTGCAGCGAGGGATAGGTCTCGGCCATGGGCATGGTGACGCCCTCGGCGCCAAAGTTTGCCAGCGCGCCGACATAGTCCACAGCAGAGCGGATGCGCAGGCCCTGCAGATCGGCGAGCTCTTCGAACGGCTGCTCGCGCAGCATCAGATGCATGGGCGTACCCGCGTTGAACCCCAGAACCTTGACGCCATCGAGTTCCTCGGCAAACTGGGGATATTCTTCCCACAGATCGAGATAGACGCCCAGAACGTCCTGGGCATCCTCATAGCCATAAAAGAATTGCGGCGTGAGGCGGCTCAGGTCATAGCCCGAGCTTGCGTAGATCGGGGCAATGAAAGCAATGTCGGCAACGCCGGCGGCCAATTCGTCCACACCTTCACGGCTGGTGATCAGCGAACCGCCCCAGAACGGAGTGATCGCGACGCGTCCGTCGGTTTGGTCCTGGATGCGTTCGATCCACTGCTCGTCCGCGGCGCCATAGGGATGGGTCGGCGAATAGCTTGTCGAGTAGGTGAGCTGGAACTCCTGAGCCGTGGCGGGGCCAGCTACAAGGGTCAGTCCCGTCGCGACGAGCAGCATCGTCTTTATAAGATTGTGGTTCATGGTTTCCTCCCGTTTGAACCCGGTTCATAGTTCGGCGCCAAGGGCGCCGGTCGTCCGCAGGGTCTCGATTTCGGCTTTCGATAGGCCGATGTCCTCCAAAAGTGCTTCGGTGTCCGCGCCAGGCGCACGGCCCAGCCAACGTACGGGGCTTTCCTGCCCGAAGCGCACTGGCTGGCCGATCTGGCGCACGGTTCGTCCGCCGGCGCCCTGGTATGAAAGCGCCATGCCCCGGGCCTTATTGTGCGGATCTTCGAGCGCTTCGCCGATCGAATGTACGGGCGCGAATTGCGTTCCGGCGGCCCCCAGGATCGCGAGCCATTCGTCCAGATCACGTTCACGAAAGATCGCCTCCAGCGCGGACCGGATTTCCGGCCTGCTCTCGACATCGTTCTGCAGCGCGACGAAATCGGGGCGCCCCACGGTTTCACAAAAAATCGCCCAGTAGCGCGGCTCCATGTCGGTCGTGCAGATGAATTTACCGTCCCGTGTGCGCCACAATCCCATATCGGCGCGACGCGTACCGCGCGGAGGGATCGACGAGAGGTCGGAATGGCGCGACAGGACGTTGACCAGAAGACTCATGGCACAGTCGCTCATCGCGACGTCGACATGGCGCCCCCTGCCCGTCCGGTGCCGTTCCTCGACGGCAGCAAGCGTCGCGAACGCGGCGTGGCTGCCCGT